TGACTACAATTCTGACCAAACATACAGGTATAATTTTGATTCATTCACACCGGTTGGCTGTTGTCATTTTTAAAATTTTATTTGACAATCTAAGGGAAAAGAGGTCAGAGCCCCTGACTAAATAGTCAGGTATCGCATGTTTTAAAAATTCTTGTGGCACACCGGTTGAAAATCGCTGGGCTAGAGTATAAAACGTGGAACCGCAGGGCAGAGGTCAGCAAAGTCACCTGGAGAAGCGAGAAGGCTCCCCGGCCACAGGCCTTGACTCCTTGCATTCATTCAACAAGTTATTTCTTAGCGCCTTCTTCGTGGCAAACATTGTTCCGGGCACTAGAGATAATATAATGAACAAAGCAACGTTCTTGTTCTCATGAGGTTTATATTCTTCTGAGGGAGACGGCAATCATAAAGAAGAGTATGGCAGGCATCCAATGATTAGAACTTAAAAGCAGGTAAATGATAGCGAATATGTGTACTTTTGCTAGTGCTTCCTGTGGGGCCAGGAGCCATGCTTAGCGTTTTCTATGTAATAACTCATTGAACCCTCATAACAGCTCCCCGAGGTAGTTGCTAATATAAATCCCTATTTTGCAGGTGAGGCATGGAGAGGTGAAGTAACTTTCCCAGCATCACAGGGCTGGCAAAATGGCACGAGAATTAGATCCCAGTAGCCTGGCTCCAGGGTCCGCGCTCATCACCTCCGCCTCCTGGCTGCCTCCTTTCCGTGGTGCCAGCCGAGGTCACATGCAAAGGAGACTCCGAAGGGGCCATGCTGTCTTATTCTGTCCCGAGAGTAAGCCCTCCCCAGGCCCGTCTTCCAGGCTGCAGCTTTGGCCAGAACTCGGGAAGGGTTTTGCCGAGATGCCTACACCCTGGTTTTCTCGGCACAGGACCCAATTTCCCAGCTCGTCCCAGTGACCATGCGATCTCTGAACCCAGATGCTGGGTCTGAGAAGGAGGTTGTTTCTAGATCCAAGAGGCCTCTGAAGGCAAACAAACTGGGACCCACAGGAGCCAGAAACTTAGTCCACCCGGGCTGTGTGCCTTCGGTGGGCCAGGACAGCCCCTCTGCATGTGCGGAAAACGAGCCTTTGCGGATGTTCCAGGGCCCGGGCCAGGGTGGCGAGAGGGACCACTGCGATGGACCACACAACCGGCGAAATGTCCAAGATGCCGAATCGTTTAAGGACTGGAATGCGGTTCAGGGCTCGGCGGGGAAAGCATCTGGGGCTGATTAGTGACGTCAGCCCAGGGGCCGTGGACAGTAGCAGCTTCCTGTTGACTCCGTGACCTCAGCCAAGGGACTGGCCTCTCCTTCCTGCTCTCATATTGTAGGTTGCAGCCCCAGGCCAGGGAAGCACACTTCTAAGCTTCTAAAGCACAGTGTGAGAGACAGTGAGCCACGGAGAAGTGAGGAGCTCCTTGTTCCTGAATTGAAACGCTCATCCATTCCACGGAGCCCCTAGCAAATCCTTCCCTGCTTTCCACAAAAGCCTCTTCCCTGTCCCCTACGCTGTCCCCAGAGCTCAGAGAGGACCTTTGTGTGTGCGGCTCCACAGCGGGGCTCAGCCTCCACCCCAAAGCACAGCCCTTCCTGGCTGGTCCTCACCCCCCAACCACGCCCCACGGCCTCTGCCAGGCAGGTGAATCCACCCCCACACACTCCAGCCTCATCTGCACTGAACATCCCTTGTTGGGCTGCGGCAGAGAATACTCAACAGACTCATATTAAAAATGCCCTTTAAAATTCAAAAGCTTTGAACTAAAGAAATACCTCGAGAAGTTCTCATGGAAAGTTCAGCTCTGCTGGTTCAATTCACTACACTTAGATGCACCTTTTCAAATAATAGGGGGAAATGTAACAGGGTCAGACCCAATCAATATGCCTGTTCAAACGGAATTGCGGGGACTCTGATGTGCGCACGTTTTGTGCTCTGCCTTTGTACCCCGCCACTCGGGCTGAAGAAAGGTTTCTTTGCTCGGAGAGCAATGAAAGTGGTCGCCTTTGGAGTGGAGGCGGCCAACCAATGGCATGTTTACTGGGCCGGGAGGGGCTGCCGTTTCTGACACACACGCCCCCACCCCCAGCTTCATCTCTTTGTTCTTTTCATAACAGCATAAAACTCACGTGGGCAAAGTCCCTCACGAGTCCCGGCATCTGACACTGAATCGGGAGCAGGGGGCTCCCAGCATTTGCCTGCCACGTTTCAGAAATGTGATTTGTAGGTTGGACAAATAATTGGCTGCTTCTTTCCCACCCCTGGTGCCCACCAAAAACGGCCGTGCCATGGAGCACCGTGCCAGAATCGGGGAAACGTTCAAAGCCCAAAATGGGCCCTCATCTGGCCGAGTCAGGCTCCACATCCACTCCATCCTCCTCGCCTTCCACCCTGAGCTGACCTGGAGCAGCAGAGGGTTCCCTGGCCTTGGCTGCAACCTACAACAGCTAGGAAGATTCTGCAGAGCCAAGCTTAACGGAAGACAGTGAAGGGGGAAGGGGCCGGGGGCAGTTTCCATCCCACAACCAAACACGGAGTTCATGACGGGAACAAACAGATGCTTGTTTTCAGCACCCGCCTCACATGCACTCACAAATGTGCACCCGCCTGAGCTCTAGTCACTGAAACAGAGCCTGGGCATGCGGAGAATCTAGGTGGTCAGGAGGCTCCACTGGGGATCAGGAAAAGGTTTTATTCCCAGCCCCCTTATTTCCGACTGGATCTTAAAATGTTCTTTTGGTTCTCAATCTGGGCCCGGGTTGAAGTTAAAACTCAGGAGATGTCAACAAGCAGATGCAGGTACCCCCTTCGTCAACTGCAACCGCATCATTAAAACTGCTGGGGCGCTGTGTCCCCGCTAAAGAGGCCTAGCTCACCTGGCTGGTGTGGCTCAGTGGTTGAGCATCAGCCTGTAAACCAGGAGGTCACGATTCGATTCCTGGACAGGGCACATGCCTGGGTTGTGGGCTCGATCCCCAGTCGGGGTGTGCAGGAGGCAGCCAATCAATGATTCCTTCATCGTTGATGTTTCTTTCTCTCTCAATCCCTTCCTCTCTGAAATCAATAAAAATGTATATATTTAAAAAAAAAAAGTGAAACTGGCCATGTGGACTTTCCCAGGGTTGTCCCCATAAGAGGGCCCCTGGTCAGCCAGCACTTCCCCAGATGGCCCCCTCTTACCTCAGGAAGCCAGAGTCCTCGCACGGGGGCTGGGCCTGCTGCCTGCTGCCCCCGGATGCAGCGTGAGCTCTGCATGCAGCCTGAGTTGGGGGCCCATCATGCTCTCTGCAGGTTGAAATGTGGGCCATGCTTCTCAGAGAAGTCTACACCTCCTTCCTGCGGGAGCTGGAGAGAACAGTGAGAGTGGCCACGTTCCCCCTCACAGAGGACTGGGTGTGAGACCAACAGTAAGGAAACCCCGACCTGCTCTCACCATGTGGGGGACATGGCGCCCAGTACCTTTTCTTTTTCCTGTGCTCGCTGTCCTGGAGGAATCCTCCTGCAAACCCCATTTCTCTGTTATGGAAATATCTCCAAGAAATGCTTAAATAGGAGAGGGTTTTTATTGTACAACTCAGAAAGAGATCAGTAGCTAAAAGACGGGCAGTGTCCCCTGCTCAGAATGCCTTGGAGTGTATTCGCTGCCCCCCCCCCCCCCTTAAATAGCTGGAAAGTCACTCTAAACCACAGGTGCTCTTCTTGGCAAGAGAGAAAAACTGCCATTACAACAAACTTGGAAATACACATGTCCCTAAACGCAACTGGCCTCTTGCCTTCTGTTTTAAGCATATATCGCAAGTCAAAAGGAATTAAATACAAATCCACTCTGCAAAGGCCCTTCACTAACCCACCTCATTGGGCCGCGCAGGCGGGCGGTGTGTGGGTTGGAAGGGAGCCGGTGGAGTCCCTCCTGCTGTCTTGGATTGCAGTCTGCCTGCCAAGCCAGCCCCACACGGAGTCCAGGGGGGTGGGGTGGGGGCGGCCGCCTTGAGCAGCGGCTGGGCCAGGAGCACAGGCCTTCTTCCCCCAGGCCTCCGAGGTCCATCGAGTAGCAAGGAGCTGTCAGCGGGAGAAACTTTCCTTGGGTGAACACAAGCAGGAGCAGGAGCTGACAGTGCGGATTTTCCAAAGACTAACCCAGGCCCCTTGTGAGAACACAGCCAGCAAGAAGCAGGAAGTGTATCAGGTTAATATTTTAATCTGTACATCACATTTTTTTTTGCAAACCATTACACTTTTATTTAAATTAACTTTTTCTTGCAAAATATTCATTTCATTTTTCCAACAAAATCTTTATAAAGGCAAAAATAAAATCTTATTTTGGCAATTGGCATGACGTCGATACTGGCAGCATATGGAGTTAGTTAAAAATAGACGGCAACTCCTAAATATATTCAAGACGTTTTTTTCTGACCATAGTCAAAGACCAATTCTCATTTAAAGCGTGGCTCCACCGGATGGGGTTTTTTGTTTGTTTGTTTGCTTTCCTTTAAACATCGCTTTCTGTATGCAGAATGTCATGAGCTCATGACTTAAATAAAGGGCCACCAACTCTACGCCTGGCTGGGCAGCCCCCTCCTCATCTGAGGCTGGAAGTCAAGTCAAGGTCCTGCCATTGTGCCCTGCTGGTTGGCAGCCAGCAGGGACGGTGGGGCACACTGCCAGCCCCCTGGCCACCAGACCGAGTCCTGGGAAAGCTGACTCAGGTTCTCCAGGGGCAGCCAGCAAAGGTCCTGGATTCCGACCCCAGCCTAGCCTGGAGTCAAGCAGTGCTGGGTAGATGCCACCCAGTGTGGAGTTTATTGCTTATGATACAACAAAAGGTGCTTCCTCTCACCTTTTCTGTATTTCAAAGTATATTTTTTAAATGAAAGCAAAACACTTTTTTCTTTCTGAGAAGGGCCCTTTGCCGAGAGAACCTCATGGGGGGGGTGGGGGGGCGCGGGAGCC